AAGGCCTAAGGCCTAAGCACCCATTGGGTACCGTGGGGCTATGGGGGATACACGGGAAAGGGGGGACGCCACACGGACTCTGGCGAGGGAACACGTGTGCATGCAACATGCACACATTCTGGCTCCGCCTACGAGAACCGCCGGGTGGTACCTCCGCGTTCGACAGTCAGAGACCATCTACCACCTACGGACAATCACAACATCCATGGCCAAGAGAAACATTTCTCCTGGGACGGGACTCGAACCCGCACAGCGCACGGCGGCTGATCAGGAGACCGAAGAGTCTACTACTGCGGCCACCGCTGCTGCCTAAAACAAACACACAACATCCATGGCGAAGGCGAGATTCGAACTCGCGGCCCGGCCGGCCGGCTGATCAGTAGCACGACACTCTGACCCACGCGGCCAACCGAGGTCCCAGAAGTATTTGGCAGGGAGGTAGCTAAGGGGCATGATATTTCAACAAAGGACGCAGTTTATGGCAGTGCCAAATTAAAGTATTAAAGGGCAAGTACGGTTTGAAATTGCTTGGAATTGTCTAATATCTAAAAATTGCCAACGATGAGGTTTTATTTAGAGTAGACTCCGGAACTTTCGCAGATAGGTTGCTTCTGTTATGTAAGATTTAGTTTAATTTAAAAACGCTAATTTCATAAAGCAATATTATTAATTTGTTAGCTTTTCGCTCCGCGATTTTACCTCCGCAGCTTATAGGTGGTTCCATGAATAAAATAAACAAATTTCCCAAGCATACAAGTTCACTGTGAACTTACTAATGCAATGTAATTATAACAATACTCAAAAACAATATGTTAGTAATCATTTAATGCCTACCAAGTCACGGGTAATAGCGAATTGGTCTATAAAGATTCCTTAATATTCTGCTCAAGCCCTCGCATACTTCCCTATATTTGCGTACGTCAATGAAATTGAGGCAGGCCGCTTTGTCTGCGAAACAACAATACTATTAATTTAAAACTCGAGTAGGAACGGAACGATAGACGGACGGCGAGTTCAATGTTGTAGATCGACTTTGAGCTCGGAACTGGGGCGCTACAATTCCAAAACTTTTCAGCCATAAAGAAAAGTGGAGAGACGAGAGAGGGACGGGGGATTTAACGATCCTTCGAGATTAAAATTTTCGGACGGATTCACAAATTTTTCGCTATAAATTTCCGAATATATTTCCAACCTAGTTTCCGGCTCGTGTATCGAAGTTTCCGTCTTAGTCTGTGAAAGGTCGTGGTTATTTAATAGGAAGACGTAGGTTCTGGAAACTGATATTGCCACTGGTATTTCTGTAATCTATTTAAAAGCGATACGGTTAAGTAACATCCAGACATTAAACGATTCAGAGATTGAGATGGAAGAGAGAAGAGATGAAACTGTAGTTTGAGCTGAGTAATCAGAAATAATTTTAACGTCAAAACATAGCAAAAATAAAGGAATTCTTCTTTTGCAAAAAAAGATTTTTTGCATAAGCGATGCCTTTTCATTCTTTCGCAACGAAAAATAAAAAAGTATTGGCACTATGACGCAAAAGCAAGAAACCGCAGCCTGATCCAGAGGGAATCTTGTTGCTAATGCAGTTACAGATTTCCAGTAAAAGCAGAGTTTTACGGTTAGATTAGATTAGTTACTTTATTAGAGCTATGAATGAAGTTTAGGGACAGCTTCTCATCATGTAACCTCCCCACATGGTTCTCACTTTTCTAGTTGTTTAGGAGGAGTTGATGTCTTGTCTATATTAAGCATGATCCTTGAACAGAGCAATCCGACTGATTGGTGACACTTCATCAACACGCAGCGTCAAGTCTATTTTACTTCGACAAATGGTCGTAATTTGTTCTCCTATATCTGGTATTACTGCTCAGTTGTTCCTAGCATATCAAAAATGCTCTACTAGAATGATTTTTACCCAGTTCTACTAACACAAAATTCAAACCGCAAACCAAAAAATGACGTCAAGTAGTAAAGTATTATGTTCGGTACTAGTTAGTCTAAGAAAAAGTTAGCTACGAACATGTGTAACAAAAAAATGAAATTGACCAAGTCAGTCAGGACTCAGGACCATGCAACCAGTTCATAGTCGTACCAATTTGACAGATTTGCGGTATAGACATTTCTTCTCTACCCTACCGGCATCAGTACTGACCATCTGCCAGCCACTCATCGGCTAGATATTGGTCAGAACTCGATACAGGTATATTTTACGTTCATTGCGATGTTGTGACGCATGCGTTGAAAGTAATTCTCTTTTCTATTTTGAAAACAAATGTATGGAGAAATACATGTTGTGTGAAATATGTGTAACACGTGCGTAGAATTATCAGGATTGTACGCGTATAAACATACTACATCAAAAAATTTATATATATATAGGGTGTCCGCAAAGTTGGGGTTTTCCTTTTCAGAAACAACTACCCTTGAAATAACAAAGGTAATGTGTAGTGAAACGAGGGCGACCAAGTAAAAAAAAATAAAGGAAAAAGTACTCACTCTCCAGTTGACGAGAAGGGCTAAGTACGCCTCTGCCCGAAATCATACCGCTCCAACAGAAAATGAAATCAGCTGATGCGCTACCGAGCAGACGCAGGCAAACAAGGAAGGCCAAATGTTGCGTAAAAAGTCTAGGTATTGCATGCCGTCCAATCGATTTGGGAGAATAAATGGTCCAATGAGCATACCGTTCACCATGCCAGCCCAAACATTCACCGAAAATGTTTGTTGAAAATGTGGCCGACGGACAGCGTGCGGATTTTCTACTGACCAAACATGAGTGTTGCGAAAGTTATTCACCCCATTACGCGTGAACGTAGATTCGTCTGTCATCAATATGCACTTCAAAAAGTCCGGATTATTGTCATGTTGATGCAACAACCACTCACAAAACCGCACTCTTGCTGGAAAATCGTCAGGTTGAAGGGCTTGTACACGTTGGACGTGAAACGGATACAGCCCCTCTTCACGCAGCGTTTGCCACACTTTAGTTTTTGATACTTGCACTTCTCTAGCCACGTCTCTAGTGCTTGTTGAGGGATTCTCGTCTACGCGATTACCTCTACACGCGTGTCCGTAACCGTCGGTTGAAGGTTGCATACTGACCTGACACACTGACCCCGACCCAGTTCTGTCGTCGGATTGAGCTAGTGTCCTAGTACCACTCAGGGATGTCGCGGCTACAGGACGGTATTCAGATATTTTTGATGTTGCAGAGCCCTTTATCTCGGTTCCCTTAAGACACTGGTGTATATGGTACTAACAAAAATTGCTTATGTTTTCAAGATCTACATGTCGTGTAAAGGAAAACCCCAACTTTGCGGACACCCTGTATATGTATATATATATATATATGTATATATATACAGTAATGGACAAAAGTATAAGGACAAATATGAATATTTACCTAAATACCTTTAGAAAACGAATTCATACTTCATTGCTCGATAAATAAATTCGTTATTAGTAGAAAAACTAAATTCCTTGTTTTTACATTATCTGCAATGAACACAAAACAAGTCTGAATACAAGCACTTTTTATGAGGTACAAAAATATGTAGACAAATTCTTTTCAACATTAGTTTAGCACAGTTTTGTTTCAGAAGAGGATTAGTTTGTGTTCATCAAATATTGTGGAATAAGTTGAGTGATTTTAAGGCCATGCCGCGTGGTCCATAAATTTCTTTCGATGTGAAAACTAAGATCATTAAGTTATACAAAGATAGTCGACAAAAATTTGAAGCTGAAGCGTAAAGCAGTTTTGGCAATATTGAAGAAATATAAACAAAAAGGTATCTTGGAAGCCTCTAAGAGAAGTGGTCGGCCTAGAAAACTAAATGCTAGACCAGTTAGATTAATAAAAGTAATTTAGTCCAAAGATCCGTTTAAAACCCCAAGACAAATAAAAGCCGAAATCGAGACAAAAGGAATTGTCAGTTTTTCTACGAAAACTATAAGTAGAAGATTAAATGATTTGACGTTATTTGCACGTCGCCCGAGTACGAAGCCGCTAATCTCGAGGAAAAATCGTAATGACCGATTACAATTTGCACAGTTGCATCTTGATTGGAGCATCTGAGACTGGAAGAGGGTATGTTTCAGTGGCGAATCCAAGTTCAATATGTTTGGATCAGATGGTGTTCATTACGTTAGACGTCCTAGTGGACAAAGATTGAACCCCAAGTACACTTTGCCCACTGTCAAGCATGGAGGCGAGTCTGTTATGGTTGGGGGTGCTTTTCGGGGTTTGGGATGGGACCTTTACATAGAATAGATGGCATTATGGATAAGTTTGTATACATAGACATACTAAAGCTTGTCATGTTCCCTATATGGAAGAACAATATGCCCTAACATCAATCTTCCAGCAAGATAATGACCCGAAGCAAACTTCAAATTTATTTATGTATAAGTGGGTATTATGCTATAACGAATTATGTATATAGGTTGGTGTATTAATAAAATAAGTTAAAAAATAAATACAGCACAATATTAATTTGTCTATATACTTTTGTCCATTACTGTAAATATATATAGATATACGCTCCCCCACCCTCTACAACCTTCCACAATTTTAACCCATACAAAATTTTTTGTAAAAATGATCCGGAGTCTCTGAAACTTAGTGATATTCATTTTTTTCTTTTTCTACCTGTAGCTCTGCCGCCACTGGATCGATTTACAAAAACTTCAAACTTTTTTCGCCCTTGGTATAGTTGTAACATTGTCTTGAAATTTCGTCATATTCCGACCTGTGCCTTTCAAGGATTTGCGGACAGACAAACCGACAGACGGACAGAAATTAGTGATCTGGTTTTTCGTGAAGTACACGCCACGCACGCTGGCGTGGGAAGTAAAAGATTGGTTTTGCGACTTGTCCATTATAGAAAAATAATAAACGATTGAAAATACAATATTGTAGGCTTAAGCAGGACAACCTCAAAGCAAAGGCTTTGAAGATGTTTATGAGCTTTATAAACATAATTATATTTGTTACTTACATTTTCTGCAGCATCTAAATCCTTGATATTATTGATGTAGATGTCGCCTAACAAAATCAGTCCTTTTACATGATCTGGATGATATTTTACCAGCTGGTTCAAAAATGGCGCTGCTTCTAATGGACGCTGATCATCAGCCAGTAGAAGAGCCAAATTAAACAGAGCACTCCTGAAAATAAAAAATATGTTTAAGGCACATGCCTTTTCGTTCACCATAGGACTTGATTCAATGACATTCATTTGAAACAATCAATATAAAAAATGATGGTTTCGTAAGAACGAATTTTATGATTAACAAATACTTGAGTAACGTATAAAAATGCCCAAAAAATCATCGGATCTTAAAATGCCTTCCAAGCTTATAACTTCACTTCAAAAATACCCAAAAAGTTATACATATTAGAAATACTCAATTTGGGATGAATCAAAGAATTTTAATTATTCTCTAAAAGCATTATTCTGTTTCAGGTATTGCCTCGATCCATTGAAGGTTGGTGACAATTCTGGCATATTTTTTAAGGTTTTGGGCAGCACTAATCCACGAGTGTTGTCTTCGGCATTTGTATCTCGGTATGCGTGTCCCAAAGAGCATTATCTAAAACATTAGGTTACCTGAAATGCACACAGAATGTTCAGAAGGTCTATATCAACTTTTTAAATAAAAATACATTGAGCCACATATACCTTTGTGCAAAGACCGTGTACTATTTTTGACTTAAGCGCAATTTTGTGAAATTTTCGAAAAAAGTTCAAATAATTAATGAGATTAACCATCGCTAGTTCAATAACGAAGAACAACTTCACTGTTCTCTTACTTTTATCATTTCTCTTGACGCATATTCTCCCTCTACAAGCAGTTTCCAAGTTATCGAAACATCGTGTACATATGAAAAATAATTTTGGTTTTGTTAATGGTTCGATTTTCTAGTGCTTCATTTGATAGCAGTTTGATAGGCAACTGCGCAAATTCAAGATATTGCAAAATAATTAAATTTGATACACACAAATCTATTTAACATTTTCAATATATCAATTTCTAATACATTATCGAGCCCATCATACTTCTGTGGTCGCCAGATCTAACTCCTGCTACTTTTATGTGTGGACCTCGGTGTGAATCATTTGATTTGCAAAATTTATGAACTATTTAAGAAAATGGAAACCAGGATATGCTTATAACCTACTGCTACAAAATACAACAGACAACCAGGCAGGGTATGAAAATGCATCACAAATATATGTTCACATCATCAAAATGACCAAATGAGTGTGTTACATTTAACTGATTTGTTAGGAGAAATAAACCCGACGAGTAGTGTTTTATTTTCTACCACTTAAAAATAAACGGTGTATCACGTTTTTGAACTTCTAGGACGTGTCGTCGTTTGCCCAAAGGTTGAAAAAATTGAAAATTTCATGTTTTTACCTGAAGTCCGCTTTGAGATGAACTGCCCTCCTGAACCAATGTTCCGCCTCTTCAATATTCTTCTCGTCCATCGCTAGCATTCCCAAGTTGAAATGCACTCTTTCGCTATCCGGATCCTTTCTCATCAGCTTCAGTAGCCGTTCTCTGGCTATCTTCCGCAATTCAGGCCTTCCAAGTTCTTGAAGCAAAATCGCGGAATTGAGGAGGGCCTGATCGTGCTCAGGATCGTACTCCAGTGCTTTGTCTAAGTATGCCAAGGCTTGGGAGGCTTTGCCTTGTTCCAGAAATACGACGCCCAACTACAAAGAAAATTTAAGTTTTTATGGCAAGAGTATGATTGAGTAAATGATTTAATTATTCTGAAAGCGAAGGGACATTCCGGTTAATAGGCATTCCTACTAGAGCACCTAAGAATGGAATTCATACTTCGATATTGTATTACTTTTCTTAATGAACGTGTGACTTAGGAATGGATTATTTTGTTTTTACAACTTACGCCCACGCGAGGAAGAATTTTGATAACATTTTCACACAAGATTACTACTATGCCAAGGATGGAAAAGATTTATAGTTTTTGAAAACCGGCCCAGAGGCGGCGGAGCTAGGGGCAAAAAAAATAAATAAAAGCATTCAAACCTCGTTTTTTGACGTCTTAATTATGTTTAGAAAAAAGATTGTAGCGGTTAAAAATTGGGATTGGGGGAAGGCAGGTATCAATCGTTTTAGTATATTTATATGCGGTAATTCTACGCTCATCTCAGGCATATTTCACACATCATATAGGTGCATTTCAAACTTAGAATGATATAGAAATATTTTAAATACGCCTCCCATGCAACGGATGTAAGGTTTATACACCTGCTTCGAGGTCTCTTGACCGATAAAGATAAGTGACTGGGGAGTCGCGAGTGGCGAAGTCAGTCATAGCAAGATTGCCAGATGGTCAGTACTATCAAAAGGATAAGGAAGTAATTTCGAGATTGCAACGTAACAAATAGGTGGGTATCATGGACTAGCTCTATGAGTCTGATTGGCTGACTTGTATTTAACTTCTTTGTTATTCATATTCATAGCGAATTTTTTTCTCAGAGGGGCTATCTTGTGTTGTTATGAGCTGATGACAGCGTCGCATATGTGCCAAACAACTTGATGCATTTTTCTTGTAATCTTGATGACCCTCCTGTCAGCCCTAAACAGTTCATAGCTTAATCCTTTACCTTTATTAAAGACTCATCCTTAAGAAAGGAGTCGCAGAGTCGTTTTTCAATTGGAGGCCAACTCTATCATCTTGCATAGTCATGTCTTCCCCTTAGCCAAAGGGATCCTTATTAAGAGGCTTCCGTAGTAATATATACCAAAGGATGGCCATAATGAGTACGGATAGGCATTACAGTTTTTCAGATTCGTAGAGTGCTTTCCAGAATAGTGACAGAAAGGACTCAGTTTTGGGGATACGTAAAATGTAGCTTGTTTACAACCTTAACGGTAAGGGAAGAGGGAATTAATTTAACAGGGACATAAGTAGTTCTTGACAAGGGACCCATCAAGGCATTTATTTTTGGTACACGTGCAACACTGAAACTACGGAATGTGACGGATATAATATTAACAAAGTTATAAAAGAGATCTAAAGGCAAAACCTTAGTAACCATACCAGAAGTTTTAATGAAATAAACGACACAGAAACCACATCTCTATCATCTACCTAATGAAAATATATGTGATATGCGTAGTCATTTCTTAATCGCAAGGTTTCTTCATTTCACTACTTCAAGGAGTCAAAATGGTTCCAAACGATTATGAAGGTTACATGGTGGATGCTGTACCTTGGAAACCCTGTACACTGGATTCCAATTAAAAAGTTATGGGCGGATATGGTTTGCCTAAGGTTGACACCATAAAATTTATACGTCCCAGGCGGTATATAACACCTAATAAAATCAAATTTATGTTGCATTTTCCCCAGAAAATTGTATACAGTGTCGTTTTACGAGTGAGGTGACAAAAGTTATTGCTCCAACTATCGTTTAGTTAGAAACAACGTCGCATTCTCGATACGACTGTATAGGATGATTTATAGTTAAGACCTTCGCCAGATGAATCATCTGCTGCCAGGTTAATCTGTTACAATGAAATCATTTATTTTATACGGGGTGTTTCACAACTTATCCGACAAAAACTCTGTTACGAAAGAAGTTGATTTATCAAAAAAAGTAATAATAGTCTTAGAGAAATTATAATAAATTGAAAAATAAATATCTATATTTTGCGTTCATCGCCGTTATATTAGAACACGCATTAATAATTTACTGTAGCAAATGTTGCACCAAACAACCGACGAAAACAAAATACCAGGAATTTTTTGTTTTTTCACACTGAAAAGAACGTGTAAATAGAGTTAATGTGTATCGTGGGTGATCTGAATGAAGAACGGTCGATTTTGTGTGAGGTTAAATAAGAAAGTATTTTGCGAGTTTATATTTTTAGTTATTGCACGTGCTAGTGGAGGTTTGCGCCCAAGCTTGCATTCCAGTCAATGGAAACAATTTTATAAGTGAACTCTTAAACTGTATTATTTTATTATCTTGATTTCTGTAGGACTTTTATTACATTTTTTTTTTTGAGAAATCAAGTTCTTTCGTAACAGTGCATATGTGGTTAAATTTGTCGGATAAGTTCTGAAACACCATGTATTATAGTTATATTGAACTAGTACTAGTGAATATAGCTAAACCGCATGTAATTGAAAAATAAATAAATTAAAAATTGAGATTTTTGGCTCTGTACTTTTAATCTTTTTCGGATTCTTGGGATATAAAAAAATGTGAAAAACATTTGTAAAATTTCATAATTGTAAATTAGGCATTGAATTAAACAGGTCAGTTAAAAATATAAACAAAGACATAAAAAACGACATATCCAAAACAAAGAAAAACAGTGACAGTAAACGTGTGTACATATTAAGAAGTTTATGGTTACAGAAATCAGTGAAACACAAAACACGCCCCAAGGGATACATTTCGTAGGTACACTAAATTAGAGTTATATGCAATGTGTGTATTGAAATATAACTTTCATTTTTATTTCAACTTTTTCAAATTATGTAATACCTCAAACTTTAAAAATTTTGAATTTTAATTCATTACTTCGTGGTGTACCGCGCATATCAACCTCTCTTCTGAATAAAAAAGAAAATCAGTTTGCGCAACTCTGGTTTCGCCCTCGTTACTGAGACCTTGATAGTAACATCAGATGCACTTGCAATATATCGATGCTTAGCTTGCAACATCATCGAGATGGATCGGCCGACATAGGGAGCCTTCGAGAAGTCTTGATCGACATCATCTAAAATTTGGATGAAGCGCTGAGAGGTTCTGGATTGGCAAATTTTTGAACATAAATAGGTGTCAGGACGGCAGAATGACGGAATCGAGTAGTATAGTATAGAGTATAATGGTCATGAATTAGTTGCAACTGTTGTTATAAATTAATGAGAATAATAAATTAGACTTTGAACAGTAAAAACGCTGTTTTTGTTATACTACGAAAAAGAGGGGACAACAGAAAACTTTGTCATAAGGGAAGAAAAAAACTCACATTATAGTAGATGTCCGGATTGTTACTATCATATAGCAGTGCTCTTTCATAAACCTCTTGAGCTTCTTTCGTCCGGTTGAGCTTGATTAAGATGTCCCCTCTGTTGATATAGGCTTGAGTATAGTCAGCACGCATGCTTATTGCTTGTCTATACAGCATATCAGCTTCCTCCAATCTGTAATAAAACAAAAATGTTTTTCAATCTCCCTGGGGTGGATTGATTCAACAAAGAGGAGCCTACAAACGAGTAATATTTTTATTCCAATCATCAGTGACGTAGCTTGCTATCAAAATTTTTCGGAGGCCTTACCTAATTGTGGCGAGCTCCAAATGGAGTGTAAAATTAAGTATTAATTTTTACAACTAATGTTCCAAGAAGCGCAAATAATAAATATTGGTATTCTCTTCTGGTCTTACTCACTCTTAAAGAAGGCAGGTAGTTTGAAAGCGAAAATTTTAAAAACTCATTTTGTGATGTCTATATATAGCACCTAAATTCATAAGAAATATTTCTGTCGGTCTATCTGTCACTCTCATCTGTGTCTCGTGGCAATACTGTCCGCAAGATACAATTGTGAGAACTTCGTATCAGGAGGGCTACAAAGACATGTATTTCCGTATGGTGGTTATGATCATACCTCGTCGAGTTTTTTGATATCAGGTTAGCCAGGTTCAAAAACACGTTCAGGTGATTCGGCGCTATCCGTGCCTGATAGCTTTCCCCAGGTTTTGCTTTCGGCAGAAGTGATTTTGCTTTCAGGTAGGCAAGTTCTGCTTCCTTGAACATCTTTAGATGGTTGTACGTTCGGCCAACGTTAATGTGAGCTCCTGTAAAAAATATGTATTTGTATATTTAACTGAAAGACAAAATCCTCATGAATTACATATATACACAATTACACGTAGTAAAACCCAATAGGAACGAAAGTTAAACCGCTTAAATCTTCTGTTAAGTACAAACCCAGAGTCGGCAAATGTACCTATATTTATTAATAGTAATGAGAACCGCATAAGCCTTTGCGTGGATATAACTTTGACAGGCAATTTCAACCATTGAATGTGATTTCATGGCGAAATCAATACATAACAGCTTCAGCAATTTAACTCGAAGAGAAATTCACGGAACACGAATGGTTCTTTGACGAAGCATTTGAGACAAATCTGGTTATCCACCTGCCAACATGAGACCAAGAAAGCGAATTAAAAGAGCTTAAATTAGGAATAAAACTATACAGTATTATATGACTCCATGCTATAAGACTGTGAGTTGAGACACCCTCTGCGTACCGGTTGTGTTTGAAAGCTATAAATATTTGTTGTTGTGTTGCTGTCATTATTTTTTATATTCTTAAAATGGTAAGAACATTGAAAAGTCTTGTAGTTTAAATCTTTAACATGGTTTCGTTCGTGCAATGCAAAGTAGAAATACTATATATAATTACCGTGCAATTACGATGCTCTCAAGATACTCGTATTCTCAGACTTTTGACGGTTTTTGAAATATTGCTTTATTTCTGAGATACAGAAGCCTGTAAGACACCACTGAAATTATGTTTTTCTCAAATAACTATTGAACAATAACTTTTAAAAGTATAGTAACGAGTTCAGTACTTGCATGATGGTGTTCATAGAAAAACAATTAGCTCCTTTAGTTCGCCAGGGGTTGACTTGCCCTAACGGAATATTGCTAATATACCATATATAATAATGGATCAAAAGTAGCACTTTTGGAGGGAATTTTTTTAACTGAAAATGTGGATCCTTGGCTGATTTTTATATAATGCACTGTTTTTGAGAAACAGCATCGTTTGTATACTGCCATCAATTTCGAGTAGCTATTAATGAATCTGTGATCAAAATTACTGCATCTTTAAAATGGTGGAACCTGTATGTCAGAATCAGAAACACAATCGATAAAACAGTACCGGAATGGCTGTTTTTACAAGCTTTTATTTGAGTTGACCTGTTTGTATGTATGTCTCGGATAAATTTTGAATCTGAATTTTAAGCCAGGTAACCTTAACCATTTGGGCTAAAATTTTAAACACACGTTTGGTTCGCGTGACAATACAAAATAAATGAACTTCCGCCATTTTGAATCTAATATGGCGGATGCTATAAACTGGTGATTTAATATTTCCATAGTAACCCGCCATGATAAGGTATCAAATAAAATAAGAATATGGCAATTTATAATTTGCATGGTTACCGCTATGTTATGTGTATCAAAGGAACGGGCTTACTTAGAGAAATACAATAAGCAAATAGCGTCATTCTACATTCCATATGGCGATCGCCACAAAATATCGATTTATCGTTACATGATTTATATCTATCGAAATTTTATAATACAAATAAAGTAAGAAGCTTTATGGAGTCATATTAATGAAATATATGAAAATTATATAGAATTTACCAAACTAGCTATTTGGCATCATGAATAATCAGTAAAAAAATAAATAAGGTAGAACAGCTTTTTCCGATTGGAAATATTTAAATAATAATGAAGCTCCTTCATCACAAGCTTTTAAATAAAAGCGTGTTGCGTTTTGACAACAGGATAAAATATGTTTTCCGTAATACATATACCTCTCTTACGTGCAAGGGTATAATGTTTTGTGGCACTATGACTAGTGAGTCAGTGTCCAAATCACGCGCTACACGGAATGTTGGTTAACCTGTTTTATAAATAAACTGCAATTGAAAACCGAAATTGGCACATTCATATAGCAATAACGTAGTTATCGATTTGACGTTAGTTTACTGTAAGCGACTAAAGATCCTATTTGCACTCTCTGAGTGTATTCGAGTATACAGAACGTTCGCAAATATTGCAAATTTACGGAAAAGTAAACAAACTCATGTTCTTGAATCGTACAGCGGCAACTTCAAGCAGGAACTACAAATCAAAAATTTGACAGGACAGTACTTGAAATGCTGCACCAAGGAGTGACTATTTTTCTTCAATTTCATTTTTACGCTTCCGGTGCTGTTTTACCTCAAATTATCTCTCTTATTTTAAACGTTGTTGTTTCTGAAAGAGAAGGCTCTAACTTTCATGACACCATACATATATAGTTCCATAAGGTCTCTACATACCGACATCGTCTTCCTGTACACTGACAGCCGTCTTGAAATACTCCAAGGCCTCCTGAAACCTGCCTTGACTTTCCAATGCGTGGCCAACGTTGTTAAACAATTTGGCGTTGCGTTGGTTCACTCTGAGCCCAGACATGAAGATAGTGTACTCGTCTTGCCAGTCCCAGTTGCGAAGATAGGTCTTCCCTGCATGGGCCAATAGGAGAACGAAGAAGAAGAAGTACACTGAACGACGACTTATGCTGTTTTTACAACCTAGAAATATTAGAAGACATCTTATGCTACATGTTATACGAACGCTTAAAACTACAGGTGTTACGAATATTTCGTTACTATTCGGCATTTGGCCTATTCAGCTACCTTTTTTAATATTCGGTAATTTGGTCGAACACTGCGAACTATTCGGCCATATACCGAATATAAAGTCACACAAGATTACTAAAAATAATATTATACCAACAAGAATTACAATTTTAAAGGTGTGTAAATAGGTAAAGAAATCTGAGGAACACTACCTACAAATGGAAAATGAAAAAGCCCTTCACTGAATACACTCCTACATAGCGATGATAGATAGATTTTTTGAATTCTGTCAGTTTTGAATATTGTCGTACGTTTTTTGGCCACCATTTGTAAGGGTTTGCAGTCTAATCTAGGCGAGTCGTCTTTAAAGGTAAAAATCAATCTCATTCGAACTAGCTATTTTTTGTTCACATCTTTATCCATCTTTTCTGAAGCGACTTCCTCAAAACAACTCTAGAAGCTGTCCTATTTTCCAATGGTTTTGTCAGATCCATTGACATTTGTATTATTGCGAGGTAGAGGTTATATTGTAATGAGACCTAACCTATCGCCAACAAAATGTGGAAGACGTTCAAAATGTTCAACTTATAACACAATGAGTGGTACAGAGCCTCTAGAGTATTGGCATGAAAAAGTAGTGTCGAATGGTTCATAACAAACTTCAAGTTTGGTAGTATGCCATGGTAAAGGTCGCGTAAGCAAAGTTTTGCTTATACGGTTAACTCAGAACTTGATTTATTTTACTTTGGAACAGGTAATTCATTTCATTCATTTTCATTACTTTGTTTTTTGCGTGTTTGCATAATTTTCGCACAAACGGACCACTGAGCATTTGAATAATATCAAAGAAGCGTTCTTTCCCCCCCGCGTTGGGTCCTGAAGCGTGGTGTATTCACTGCTGGGTATGCTCTTTATTTTGAACCTAATAGCGACTTGACGTTCAAGTGTTAACTAACCTTGTGAAAGAATTTGGCATCCATAGGCTACCAGTAAGCAAAATCCCATCGAAGGCATGTAGAGGACTCGTTCTGCTACCACAAAGCCAACTGGGAAGAAAAGGTTTGATGCTGGGATGAAAGGGAATACCATTAATGATAAGCCCTGGAAGAAATAGTCACTATTATTAGAAGCAATGGATTCAATTGTCCATACAAGTACATAGACTATTAAAAAATAAATAACATTTTATTTACCGGCACCTGCGACATGAAGGGTTCTTAGGCGATTTTATAGTGCGTGAAGTACTATTCTTAACTTCTGACCTGTAACTGAACTCCAAACCTTTGCTTTTTAAAAAATTGTTTGAACTTGTTTTGCCAGTTTTTCACGGCGAGTTTGAAATGTATGCTGACAGCATCCCAATTAGGAGGTCTATCATTACCCATGCGAGTTTCAATTGAATCTTCTTTATTTTGCTTGCTTCATACCTTATTTGTCATTCCACAATTCCAAGGATTTTTCACTTGATCCATTCTTTTGATTGTTTTATGCGTGTTCTAGTCACACTTCAGAAGTACCATGACATTATATACCTCATTCATGTTCGACGTAAAGTTTGTCAAAACAAACAGCAGGCTAGTGTGTATTTGATGAAGCCGGTAATACAAAAACAGGTATGGATCAGCTCAGGACAAACAATCAACTAAATATATTCGCACAGTTCATCTATGGCCCTGCGAGAGAAACATTACGTCACCAGCACCTAGTGGTGGAATATGTTAATCAGCAGTGTGAGATGCCGTGTCCGCACGCTTGGCAAACCTCAACAAATGGCTTCAAACGTAAATGTGCGGATTATGTGTTCGACTTGGTTTGCGTGGGTCTGCAAGCGCTTGTAGTTGATCCGATCGAATGTCGGTTTTTGATCCCAAATCAAAGGGGTCTACCGCAAGCGCTTGTGACGTGTCCTCATGTTTGTGCGCCCTCAGTCTCGCTTATGCACTAGTGGCGAATAGACGGAAGTTTGTTCAATAATAATCTAGGCCCAACTAGTCTCTAGCACAACTCCAGTGAATTTCATTCAGCTCAACTCAATACTTAGTTCAATTGAATCGATCAATGAGCTAACTTTTTAAGAGTTGATCAGTTTAGCACCGAGAAACTTACGTTGTAGTACTAATTTCAAGGGCGCTATAAGTATAAAAATAAAATAAACAAATATTTGTTTAAATCAAATATATAAAAGATCAACGATTCAGAAGGAAATAGCTTGATTTTAATCTCAGTCAATAGTTTCTGTCCCTGTCAAAAATAAATAATTATCCTTCTCAGTAGATCCGGATTTTATGAATCTGTAGCATCCAGCATCATCATGGCCGAACTTTTCGTTTTTCTTAACTTATTTCTTTGCTTTTATAGTAAAAATAACTTAAACTAAATGTTATTGCCGACACAAGTTCGATGTCCGTCATGCTTGCCACTTAAGCACGCTGACGCACCCGCAAACGTGTGGATGGCGACGTTTGCGTCTGTCCACAAAAAAGCCAAACGTTTATAGAGGTTTGATGTTTGCGGCAAATGCGAAGCGTGCTGACGCGGCATGATTTCTGTAAGCACCGAGTCCTCGCGCTTAAGCCAGCCTAGCCCAAACCCTGATGCCTAATATTGTGCCTAAGATCTCAGTACCTCATAGCCGTCTCCAAACCATCAGGAACGGCTCAAACTATTATGGAATAGTTTTTTATAACCTGTTGCCAGACCGTATAAAGAAACTGGATGCGAAAGCTTTTTAAAAAAAATGAATGCTTATCTAACTACTAAAGCATTTTATGTACTCGATCAACGAGTATTTAAGAAACAATTTTTCAGACTTGGATTGTTAGCAAATATAACAGTGTTCCTACACCTGGCATCCTCTAGCCTATTTGAACCTTCTACTAAGTTATCTTGTGAATTTTTATAACAATATTTTATATGTGTTACCATTTTAATGTATATATATATATATATATATATATATATATATATATACAGGGTGACTTTGAAGTTGAGTCATTAATTTTCAGATAATGATTGTAGAAGGAAGATAAACCAAAATATGTGTGTAAAAATAAAAAAATAAATAAAAAAAAATGTTACCTTGTTTAATAAAGTATCGTCCCGACAAGTATTTCAGTGCGGACCTGTATTTGATCGTGCGGTATTGGAGCAGCATGCCCTGACCTGTGAGGTCTTAAGTCACCTGATTCACGAGCACTTTGTACTACATTAACAAAGGCACGAGGGGTTGGTTGCACTCGATTGGGAAACCGATTCGCATAAATCCGTGATGCATCCGGGAGCATTTTGTAAAGACTGCCCCCCCGTAAATAAGAATCATGTCCACAAGTTCAGCATTTTCGTAAACATGTGCCATTTTTGATTTCGTTTGAGCCACGCAACAAACACTTACTATTTATTCACTAACGCGTTATCGACTGACGAAAAACATCGTGATAAACGTTTCAAATTCTTTCGCTTTTTTGTTTCCGATGCGATGCACCGGTCAGGCGGATTATATCCGTTGTCGCCAAACACGAACATATTATTATTGAGACAGGGCAGTACTCAAACTTCCAAAGGGCTATAACTTTGTTACTTTAATTTTACCAGAAAAATGGTAAAGGAAAAAAACATTTCTTTTGATCAGATCTACTCACTGTTAAAATAAATGACTCAACTTCGAAGTCACCCTGTATATATATATATATATACATATGTATTACGTATACAGGGTGTCCGCAAAGTTGAGGTTTTCCTTTTCAGAAACAACTATCCTTGAAATAACAAAGGTAATGTGTAGTGAAACGAGGGCGACCAAGTAAAAAAAAATAAAGGAAAAAGTACTCACTCTCCAGTTGACGAGAAGGGCTAAGTACGTCTCTGCCCGAAATCATACCGCTCCAACAGAAAATGAAATCAGCGGATGAGCATACCGTTCACCATGCCAGCCCAAACATTCACCGAAAATGTTTGTTGAAAATCTGCCCGACGGACAGCGTGCGGATTTTCTACTAACCAAACATGAGTGTTGCGAAAGTTATTCACCCCATTTGCAGACGATACGCAATTGCTTCATTATTTTAACCCAGATAATGTCAATAATACTACACAAATTTTACAAAACGATGTTAATAAATTAATTAAATACTCTTTAGATCACAATCTACTTATTAATCCACAAAAATCTAAAATGTTATTATTTTGCGCACAAAGAAAAACATACAATGTAACACAGCTCTTGAACATTCAGATAAATAACCAAATCTTGCAATTTTCTGATTCTGCAAAAATTCTTGGTGTTGTTTTTGATACAAAATTAAGGTTTATTGAAAATGTTAAAAGTCTATCTCAGAAAACCTACCTACGGCTGCGCACTCTTATAGCAAACAGGTATTTACTAAATTTTAAGATGCGTAAAAAACTATGTGAAGCATTGGTCATATCTATACTAAATTATTGTAATATCGTATACTATACTTGTTTAGACAATTTCACTAAAAACGTTATTCAAGCTATTCAAAACAATTGTATACGATTCATTTTTGGCTTACGTAAATTTGATCATGTATCGGCGAAATATCCCGTTCTAAACTGGTTAAAAATTAATGACATGGTCAAGTATCACTATTCAGTTTATGTTCACAAATTGCTGCTCACGTCTAAACCTTATTACTTGAAGGAAAAAATTTCATTTAATAATGATGTTCACTGTAGAACTCTCAGAGAAAATAATATTAGAATACCCCTGCATACTATACGTCTACACTTTTTAAACGCAGTTTTTCTTACAATGTTGCTATTATTTATAATGACCTTCCTAAAGTATATAAAGAATTTTCATTACCTGTCTTTCGACAAAAAGTTAAAACATTATTACTCAACCCTCCAAACATATAATTTACGTAATCATTCATTTCTTTTTTATTCCATCTTTAATTCAGATTAATAATTTTTTGGTGCATTTGGGTTTGGAAAGTATGCCTTTTTCTCTTTTTTTTTTTAAATTTTACTTTCGATGTAATGAACCAAATCTGTTTGTGGATAGTGTATTCTTTTGAACATCTGCTAGAGACTATATGGTTAAGTGTAAGAGTAGCAGCATGCTAAACTTCGCCATATAAGTCTGACATTTGGCTATACTACAATGTAATTGTGGATAAATAAAGACGTCTATTATTATTACGCGTGAACGTAGATTCGTCTGTCACCAATATGCACTTCAAAAAGTCCGGATTATTGTCATGTTGATGCAACAACGACTCACAAAACCGCACTCTTGCTGTAAAATCGTCAGGTTGAAGGGCTTGTACACGTTGGACGTGAAACGGATACAGCCACTCTTCACGCAGCGTTTGTCACACTTTAGTTTTTGATACTTGCACTTCTCTAGTGCTTGTTGTTTTTTGAAACGCAATCGATTATACGAGTTCGTTTACCTCTACAGGCGTGACCGTAACCGTCGGTTGAAGGTTGCATACTGACCTGACACACTGACCCCGACCCCCGACCCAGTTCTGTCGTCGGGTTGAGCTAGTAGCCGGTACCAGTTGGGGATATCGCAAGTCGCGGCTACAGGATGGTATTCAGATATTTTTGATGTTGCAGAGCCCTTTATCTCGGTTCCCTTAAGACATTGGTGTATATGGTACTAAGAAAAGTTGCGTATGTTTTCAAGATCTACACGTCGTATAAAGGAAAACCCCAACTTTGCGGACACCCTGTATATGTATATGTGAGTATGTATACAAGTATATGTGATCCTGTTATTTTTTACAACTTATATCTGCTTTTATTGAATGATAATGCATCATATGATGAGTCGATGCATTTCTGTTTAATTTGAACATCAGTCATTTGTCACACTGCGTTTTGTATTTTTTTTCTTTTGGTTTGTGTAAACACCTACCTACCTAAAACAAATATAGAATTGAAATGAAAAAGAATTGAAATTGTTTACACCTACTGCACCTCGAAAATGAATTTGGTATTATATTCTATTCTATTAAGCAATTTTGTATGTCGTTTACAGGTATCCCATCAAAATTACCTTGTTTTGAGTTGCTTGGAAGTTTTCGCATGATATCCACCTACAAGAATATTTTCCTTTTGTGGCATATGCATTTGTTCACAATGTGTAATAGATGTGAATAAATTAGTATTATTATCCACTGTCTATCTGAGTAGATGACAACCAACTGATTGACATTTTCCTGTCCTATAAGCTTTCTTTGCACATACATATTTGTATGGTCATTACGTTAATTCGAGCAACTGTTCCCTTCCAGAGTTCTCTGATTCCAAACTCTTCGACCAGTGACAAGCTAATTTGCTAATAACCAGAGTACTTACCATTATCAAAACAACACCTTGCTTCCTATTATCCGTCGTAAATGCTTTAACAAGTAGTGATGCCAGAAAGGCGTACGTAGCCACAGTGGTCATGTTCCTTGGATCCGTGAATGACTCTACCAATGGGACAGTTCCCATGGTCCAGTCGCAGCACAGGTTGCAAGGAAATAGTAACAACCACAGATTGACGCTGATTAGATAATGATACGTTAGCTGCCTTGCTGGGATCGCGGCAACCTGGAAAAGATAGTTGCTTGTAAGAAAAATAACATAGTTGATAGCCGTTCGTTTGACCACAGTCGACCAACCATGGACAGCTGTTTCGTGAGATTTGGGAACTCCTCAGTGTATAAGGTGTGACAAAATAAGACAGCACAAAGTGCTATCTATTACCAGAATCGACCACTCCGAAAGTGAATACAGCAAGCTGTCTGTTGAAAGGAAAATTCAAAAAAAAACTTCATAGTTGATTTAGTATTGGCTCGGCGACATCTGGCGGCCACCGTGGTTACTAGGCTGACATTGCGAACTGGGATATAGCTGCTTGCTGTTTTCACCTTCGCAGTGGTCGGTTCTGGTAATAGATGGCAATTTGTGCGGTCTTATTTCGATATAAAAAATACGACAATACTGAATCAACTATTAAAGTTTTTGAGAAATTTATCTTGCAAGATGGACAATCCGTTTGAGCTATTTGTTGAGTGTTTCTAAACAATATCTAACATACATTCTTCAAAGCGTTACACTCGTTTAAGAGGCTTCATCGGCATCAGCAAAATGGAAGCCTGTTCAGTAGAACATTAAGATTTGCAGATACAAATTTAAAGGTACGCGTTTTTCGCCCAAAAATACTTATTCAAATTTCTAATCTATACTAAATCGGGAAAGTGCAGGTTAATTTAGTGCCCTGTCCCTAAAGTAGGTACATATATTAATCACCCTCTTCGAATAATAAGGTATTCATTCAATTATGCATAGAAATTCTCATAATGAATAGTTCTAGGATTACTGACTTTTAGAGAACTTATACTGCCGCACTTAGGTAAAAGGCAGTAGTGTTCATTTACTGCCTTTTTTCAGTTCCGATCGACAATACATTTCTTTCATGATTATAATTATGAAATATACTCATTGACATTACAACATTGACTCATTACAACCAGAAAAAATATTTTTTTTGGAAACCTAATGACTACCATATATTTAAAGCATGCTGTGGCAACAATGTCAACGTTTTATCTTTGTTTTTGTTTACCTTTGTTAGTTTTTGTGAAGAAAGCAGTTCCTGAGAGCTGAGTAGTACATATATTTTTAGTTATTGCCCTTTCATTTACTAGTGTTAAGCATAACAAAATGCGAAGAGTTCAAAAAGGTCCAAATTATCACCATGTTAGCGACTTTGACAGGGGTAGAATTATTGCCTGTCGAGATGTTGGTTCCTCCTATCGCGAAATTTGCCGCCTTGTTAATTGTACTGCAATGTCGGTAATGCGTATGTGTCGTGTGTGGATAGAAGAGGGTAGATGAACACGAAGAAGGCCAACCGAGGCGTACCACAGAGCGTCAAGATACGCTCTTCAGACAACTAGCCCTACGAGACCGTTTTGCTACTACGCGTCATATCGTTGATCAATGGTGTGAAGAAGAAGGTAGACCTGTTACTATGCGTACACCCTGTCGCCGCATTCTAGCCTTTTGACTTTTTTCATACCATTCACGGTTAGTGCTTCCTCTGATTGCGGACATCTGTCGTCAATGTTTGAACTGGAGTAGAGAGCGGCAACACTGGCCGCAGAATGGCATCATGTCATCTTCAGCGACGAATCGCCATTCTATCTAGGTCTGATGGTCGTAGAAGGGTAAGACGTCGTCGTAGAGGACGGCGTGATATTGGATTTGCTGTTGAGACGCATGTGCATAGGACTATTGGAGGGGCTACTGCCTATGGTAGCCGTTCACTCCTTCTCTTTGTTCAAGGCAATATGACTGCTGCGCGTCATATTTATGATGTCTTACAAATCACTTTACTGTCATATCTATAGGGCCGTCCACACGTCCTTTTTCAGCAAGACAAGTCCCCATATTGCTCGTCATACTATAGGCTTTCTTCAAGAAGCAGGCGTTAATGTTTTGTCGTGGCCATCGGATATAAATTCCATCGAACATGTGTGAGATATGATGGGGAGGAGACTATCCACTTTGCACCTTCCGTCACAGGCTCTACCACAGCTAATCCACGAAGTTCGAGTTGCTTGGAATGACGTGCCATAACCAGACATCGATCATTTTATTTTGTCGATGCCTAGACGTATACAGGAGTGTATTCAACTGTTGGGTTGCCCATTTTTTTCTTATTACTTGTCAATAAAATTTCGCGAGAATGTTATCGTTTATTATTTATTTATTCTTGATGTAAGACTACCTCATTGCCAAAATCAAGTTGAAGAAATTATTTTTTCTAGGTGTAACACTTCTGTCACTCATAACGTTATCATTGAGAACGTTATTTAACAAAAAATATTTATTTTTTCACTTTGTCAAATATTTCATATTAACTTCATTTCCAAAGTACAAAAGCAGGAAATCAATTTATTAAAGTAAAAAACCATTAGTTTTCTACATTGCTTTTGTTCTCTGTATGATACAAGAACTGGCTTTTTACCCTTTATAGCCTATTGTGATATTTACCTATTTAGTTTTTTATGTAATAATTCGATTATTTGTGAATAAGTATTTATCATTATAAAACATTACTGTTGCTTTGAAGGAATAATTTTGAAAAATATTCTTCTTTCAACTTATATACTAAATGACATATAAATCCGAACACCCAGTTTACATGGTTTTATTTTAATAAAAGTTGGTGAATGTATTTATCTTACTGTAAATAACAAGTGAAAAAATTTTCAGCCTTATCAGTTGGACATTCCGGTTTTTATACTGCTTTTTTTTAATTCACTAACGCTCTAAAAATGAATATTTCAGCCGCAGTAAAGGAACAACGTTGGCGGATTTTGGTTCTTGACATCCTTTACGATCGGTTACGATGCCTAGAGTACGGAGACCTGTACGATTTCGGCAACTTAGTGAGTTTGATAGGGGCCGTATAGTGGGACTTCGGGAAGCTGGACTTTCTTTTCGGGCAATTGCAGTTAGAGTGCAAAGAAGTGTAGACACTGTGGTTAGGTGTTGTTAGGCATGGCTTCGACAAGGCCGTACGCAAAGAGCAAGGGGCACTGGACGCCGCCGTAGAACAACAGACCGTGAAGATCGCCGCCTAAGATTATTGGCCTTAAGGGACCGTTTCTCCACTACCAGGTCCATTGCAAATGAATGGTTTGCAGAACACGGAAGACCTATTGGCATGCGAAGTGTTTACCGACGAATGAGAAGTTTTGGCTTGTTTTCATACCGGCCACACTGGGTCCTCCCTTTAACTCGAGAACACCGACGTAATAGCCTTGAGTGGTGCAGACAACGGTGACTCTGGGATCAGGAATGGAACAGTATTGTCTTTAGTGACGAGTCTCGATTTTGTTTAGGCATGCACGATGGTCGTGCCAGGGTTAGAAGGCGACGTGGTGAAAGGAGGAATCCACAGTTTTTTGTTGAAAGACATGTTCATCACACTGTTATGGTTTGGGGTGCTATAGCTTATGGTTCCAGGTCACCTTTAATCTTCATCAGAGGTAACATGAACGCGCAGCGTTATATCCACGAAGTTCTAGAACCCCATCTTTTACCCTATCTTGACACCCTGGCAGATCCAACTTTCCAACAAGATAATGCCCGACCACATGTTGCAAGAGTCACAATAGACTTCTTTCAACATAATAATGTCACATTGTTACCATGGCCACCAAGATCTCCCGACTTATCCCCAATTGAGCACGTGTGGGATATGATGGGTAGGAGATTGCTCAATTTGCAACGTCCTCCTCAGACTCTAGAAGCACTTCGAGAGGAGTTGGTGGTTGCCTGGAATGAGATACCACAGGAGGACATTGACCACCTGATCAGAAGCATGCCTAGGCGCGTTGGAGAATGCGTAGCACATCGGGGTGCATCCACACATTATTAAAGGTCAAAGGGCTTTAAAGCAGTGCAATCATTTTGAAATTTTTATCATTTACTTATTATGCTTCCTTAAGTACTTATACAAAATTTTATTAAAATAAAACCATTTAAACTGGGTGTTCGGATTTATATGTCACTTAGTATACAAAGACATGTTATTTTTAGTTCATTTATGTAATTATTTTTGTTGAATGTAATTACTAGATGTAATTATGAATTTCAATGTAAATTATATTAAAAAAATAATATTCTGCATTACTGCGTTCTTCCTTTGAAATAATAATATAAATATGAACAATTATAAAAACTACGAATAAAGACAGAATAATTGTGTTTGCAGAGTATAAAAGCAGTAAAATACGCTACTGCTATTTGATGAACGAAAATTAAATACGGAGTATAATTTAGTTTGGGCCTCGGTGACAATTCGAAATCACATTTAAATGACTCTATAAAGTCATGTAACCTAGCAATATCTATTCAGTTTTGTGGTGTGTGAAGATTTAGAATTCTAGAATTTTGAACTCAGTCAAGATCAAGAGATCCGAAAAGAGCGGGGAACACTAAGCTACATTAATAATCCGCTACTCTGATAGTTGGAAGACAAACCATGAATAATTATAGGATAACTGACATATACAAAGTCACTACTTATACAAAATATACAGTTATTCTAGAGAAAATATAGATTTCTAAGTAAGCCTTGAAATTATGAGATAATCATTTGTTTCGCATACTAGCTTTATCCCATAATCATTTTCGTTTATTCCTGACTATTTGATATCGAATTTCACAATAATTTTGTCATTGTTACTTATTCTCCTCTTCAATTCGGGGTTTGTTTTTTCGACTTCCATCACCAACTTTGTTTTTCATATGTACGTTGAATTGCAATTTCGTACATTTACATAGATTTTTCAGTCTTAGATTAGGTGATGTGTTTCCTTAGTTGGCCATGAATTTGTTATTGTATGAAAATTATAAGGAAATAAAAAGATATGGTAACACCTGAACCCAAAATGAACATGTTAATGTTAATAACAATAATAATCATAAATGCGCAGAGGTAAATCACAAATGACTATGTAATAATTTCGAGCAAGGTACTTCAGTTTTCCTGGAATAACTGAGAATTGGCGATATCAATTACATTTAATATATTTTTGAAATCAGAATTAAAAACCCTATTCGTCTCAGCAAAAATTTAATATGGCATAAATGAGTAAAAATAAAGTTGATGCAGGTGGACAAGAGTCGCAACGTCATATTGAAATTTAATTATGCCATCTTGTAGAGGAAAAAAAGTGATAATGTTAATGCGTAATTTTCTTTAAAAGCCTACTACAAATAAAGTCAGGAAAAAATTAAAACGATTTCGGGAAAATTCGTTTTTTTCTGTTTCTCTCCGGAAGTAACTTTCTAAGCGGGATTTTGTTAGTTACACAAATACGCAACTTTGCTCTATTTAAGCGGCTTCGAATCTTTTACCGTTTCCGAGATCCTTATGTTGTGCGTCGAATTTGAAACGCCCGGTCCCGTTAATTGGTATTTTTGTAGACATTTATTTTCCCATTTTGTAGCCCTGAATAAGGCATCGCTTAACTGCCGACCCGTCCCCTTTATGAGTAAAATACATCATTGAACACATTGAGCATTATATCCCGAAAACCGAAGAATTGATTAAATGCTTTATTATTCTTCAAGGGAGCGGTTAGTGTAGTTTAGGTATTGTGCACTATATTCTGTCGCACATTTCGGGTTTCCAATAAGTACTTCTGACGACTAATCGTCATTAAAATCGTTTTTAGTAAGTTGGGTTCGTTCCAAGAATGAGCACAAATGCGCTCATTTTTACAGAGTTACAAATTTATCTCAACCGATTTGTTGTTTCAAAATTTTTCTTGCCATCGGTTATGTCGGTCGGCCTTTTTTGCTAAATAATCGAAGGGCATCTCTGGGCACTTCATTTAAAAATAAATTGTTAGATAGGTACGGTATAATAATTTATAATATTAATCTATAATCTGCCCATGTTCATTACCTCCACGATTTATATGAAAGGTATATTTTTTCATATCGTAATGTACGAACGCCATTCATGATTGATTTGATAGATGTTTATCCAGATGAAACCCCTATAAAATTTTTATGGCCCTGAATGTGTCTGGAATCTCTCCCGTACATTGTTACAGATTCCTACTATGTTAGGACCATTACTAAATTATGGGCTAGCAAGACGATGTCCAGTAGAGGCACCTTTTCCAGTTGTCGGCAATCTGGTGGAAGTTATGGATAGTAGGTATTCCGGAGGATATTGTAAGGAGATAAAATGTTTGGTGGAAACGTGACAAAAGAAATAACATACCTATTTTTTATTAGTGAAAATTAGGTATAAACATATTTTTTTATATATACGAGGGTTGATAAATAAAAGGTTTCCAGAGAGCTCGAGTCACACTGGAAGGTGCGAGGCGAAATACGGCAAAACCGCTGAGCGCGTATGTTTCTCTTCTCTCCGTTCCCCCGACCGCGCTTCCTTGTGTAGCTCATTCTTGATACAGCAGTTGTCCGATTTGGAGATTCCGATTTTTAAATCCCGTCATGTGCGAAATTCGTTCCATAACTCGCGTGACAGTCGTCCAATCCGTTCTTCATCGTGGACTTCTTTTCAATCTGCACTAAGTTCCATTCTCCACTTTTGGCCGTGTTGAACTGACATACACTTGTTGTCATACATCTGTCATCTGACAATGAATATCCACGGGTGGAGTTTTTTGCTGTGCAAAAAGCGAATTATGAAACGAATTTCGTACTAGGCGGGATCAAAAACGGAAACCTCCGTATGAGCCGGTTGCTGAGCCAAGAATCAGTGGCGTAGGGAAGCGCGGGCAGGAAATTTGTGGCTTGAGGACTTGCGAACCTTATATTTGGATCAATCTCCGTAGATATCTTACAATAACGGAATGCATCTCGGATTTTTGATAATAGAATACCCGCGAAACAAACTTTGGAACACGTAAATCGAACAAAAAATTCTCTAGGGACAACTTTTTGTGGAAGTGTACCTATTTGAAGAACGGGGGGTAGCAACCCCTAAACATTCCCAAAATTGTCAAAATCTTGCTAAATATGCAAATTTGAAGGTTGAACCGGATTCGCAACATTGTGGGGTGACTCTGTCGTGCGTTCATAAATTGACTCGTGAAAAATGTTTACTTTGATACGTTAAAGAAGTACAATAAATTTTGAATTGATGTATTTCAAATATTTGCGTTTGTTGCTGTTATTTTGAAAAACTAACATTATTTCTTAAAATGAGTTCTAAAGCTCTATACGGTAGTACACCTATAACTATACGACCATCCTAAGAAGTAGACCATTATTTAAAAAATATTTCTTTTAAAAAATTCCAACAAAAAGAAAAATGAAAATATTTTCATTTGAAATTTATTGTGTACATTTAACGTGCCAGATTACATATTTTTCAATATAAGTCACTGTCGTTTGAATGAAAACCAAAAGAAAATATACATAATTGCTTCATTTCTGCCTAATATTTTTGTGTTCCAAAATTTGCATGGTATCTATTTTCGGGTCAAAAGAGCTGTATTGAATTTCCTAAGAAATAATACATTTGTATCAAAATTCAAAATGATTTTTGTGCCTATATTTCACTACTAAAACATAGACTACAATTTTTTTCCTGGCACACCCCATATTATTCTACTCATTTTAACATATTCATGTTTTGTCCCATTACATTGATTTTGCTATATTCCTTGGACAAATCTTCAAGTATTAAGAAACAATAGATTATGCCTGCAGTACTGACATGACCGCACCAAACCACACCAACAAATGAAAATGATGTCATATGTGAAGATCATGCATCTTGTAAATAATTCAGATTTTGCAAGAAATTCCAATACGGCGCGGCGCCGGCGTCCATGGGATTTATTCAGAATAATGTAGTCTCAAAATCAAAAGGTTTCAAGAAGATTTATTTTCTTATCCATCTATGGCGATACTCTGAATCTCGCAACTTTGCAAGTAGTTTTATGAGATATTATTATTCGTATTAGATAGACTTATTAGAATTTATTATCAGATATTATTGCAACAAGTTGGCACATCATCCATACTTACCGATGCAGGATTGTCAAAGCGTGTAAAGACGGGTAGTTGACTGCCCATTATCTGCAACCTCCCGAATAGTAGCAATACCGTGGTCGCGGCTAAAACAAATAGCCTCTTTGTTGCCTTGGATGACCACGGGATCTGATACGGCGTTTTGGTGATAAACGCAGAACGTAAGAAATGCTTTACTTCTGGAAACCGTACCTGAAAATGAGCAGGATGACATGTTAAAGTTTGGTTTCTTGATAGTATTTTTTAGGCCTTTTCATATATAATATTAATTTCAGAATCCGTATCGATTTCTGCGGTTGAACTGAAGAAAGGCTGACGGGTGACCTGTATGTTATTACTACTTGGGGACGCAGTAATCTTGTACAGATTGGTTGATTTCATATTTTAATTAGTGGAAAACACCCCAAATTGTCTGTTGAGGTCATGCTTTGTGCATAATTTAGGCAGCCTGGTGGGGGTAGTGGTTAATGATGTGGCTCTACTAACTTAGTCATCGATAGATACCTGGGATAGAATTCCGCCCTAAGAGAATTTTTCTCTTGGCTATGCATGTTGTTATTGTAGATGGAACGTGGAGGTACCACCTGGCAGAACTCTCAGGCAGGACCAGAATGTGTGCATGTGACATGCACACGTGTTGCCTAGCGAGAGTCCGTGGGTCCCTTTCCCTGATCCGCCTATAGCGTCATGGTACCTACGGGTATTTAGGCCTCAGACCTGTATGGTGGCCTAAGCAGGTTGACTTTGCATGTCGTACAGAATGGCGCCATCAATACATAGAGGATTAAGTTTAGCGCAATTTAAGTCAGTCAAACAGGCTCATACAATTAATCCATAGATATTCTTTCTCTGCCTTATCAGTAGTTACTGTCCATCTGGCTTATAATTAGCAGGGTTGGGTGCATATAATTAAACTAAGATCAACAGATTTTCATATACCCACCGCTACCTCCTACAACCCCCGAATTTCAACCTATACAATTTTTTTCCTGAAAATGATCAGGAACCGCTGAAATGCTCACATACGAAGTTTTTTTGACATTTCATCCAAATCCAAGCGGTGCTTTCCAAGTTATAGAGGTGCCAAGGATTAGTGAACAGACAGACCGACAAACAGACCGATGGAAAGAGTGACATAGACATATAACATCCAAAAAACATAAATCATTTTCAAAATTTTTCGCGATTGCAATATTTCCTTACCCAGTGGCGTAGGTAGTAGGTAGTAAAGGCACGTCTGGTCAAAATCAGAACTGAGTCTTTTCATTCTGTATAAGGTTCTGGCAATAACCAGCCTGGTATGCTGACTACATATCTGTTACACAGCACTGTTGAGTCTTAGAATAACTAATCCGATATGCCATCCTACTTTACCCTCTCCTTTTTTTTTTCATGATTTGGTCGCTTTTGGCATTCTAGACCTACTTCACTTTTCCGTTCTAAATCGATCGAGCTTTGTGTTACGTAGGAAATTAAGATGTCGAACAATTTGCCAGAAGATGCTTTTGACTGTTCTACTAACCTTAGGCAGTTCAAAAATCGGATCAACATCTTTATATACCAGTCGAAGAACACTGGTGTTTAGGCTCGCTTACGTGACTGCTGTAGCAACAACAAAAAAACCGAATTTATTACACCCTATTTTATATCCATCACGGAACAACGACAGCTAGTTATCTAGTAATACGAGGGATGTCTTTTAAGTTTTGCATATAGAAACATAGCAGGCCGCGCGGATCGAACGTCAGTACTGAATCTTAACCTCACTCTTTAGTAAACTTAAATTCAAACTTTCACAACAATACGTGCACTGTTCTCACTACAGTAAATTTTTAAGTGTCACCAAGTCATTAGAAAAATGGAACTCAACCGAGAACATTTTCGCGCCATAATTTATTACAACTTTCAGAGACAATTATCGCAACAAGAATGCCTTGCTGAGTTACTGTCTGTTTTCGGCAACGAAGCGCCACATCAGTCGATAATTTCCCGTTGGTATGAAGAATTCAAATGTGGACGGGTGAGTCTTAGCGACGATTCCAGGGTGGGTGCACCAAAAACGGCAGTCACCCAGGAAAACGTCGATGCTGTGCGCAAACTCAGCATTGAAGATAGACATGTGACATATCGCGAAGATCTCAAAGTCCTCAATTCAAAAAAATTTACATGAAGCATTAGGAGTAAGAAAATTAGTTTCTCGTTGGATACCCCACCTGTTGGGCGGGTCATATAGCAGCAATTCCTCTTAATGAGCAAAGAACTGTTACTGCGGATTGGTATACCACCATTTGTTTGCCAAAAGTCATCACCGAGCTTCGAAAAATCAACCCCGAAAGAAGAATCATCCTCCACCAAGACAATGCAAGCTCGCACACAGCCCAAAAAACAAGGCAGTATTTAACGGAAGAAAACGTGGAATTATTGGACCATCCTTCATATAGTTCCTAATGATTTCTTTACTTTCCCGAAAATTAAAAACAGACTGCGTGGACCAAGGTTAAAGTCACCATAAGAAGCAGTTGATGCTTTCAAAAATGCCGTTTTGGATCTGCTAGCAAACGAGTGGAATAAGTGCTTCGAAAATTGATTCGAGCGCATGCATTTTATTTAAAAAAGTTTCTTTGCATACGAAAGAAACGCTACAAGTACAATGGCTGCTAATCACTATGACTACACACTACACAAGTCAGGTAGGAATAAAATAAGTTTTTTGACTATATTAATTATATCTACTTTTTAGAACTTGAAACACCATATGATCTTAAAGGGCAATGAAACAGCCATCCATTTAGTTCAAAATGTGTGGATTATATGACCGAGTTGATAGAGGTTCGATTCGCTCAATTAGGTCTGAACATTACTCAGGTAATTCTTTCAAGTAATAAAATAGAAAAATGTAAGTAACTATTGTAGGAAATCATGAAATGTACACAACTGGAACAATGTAGTGTCCGTGGCATGGGACAACTATTGAAAACTATGCAAAAATTCTAAGGAAACGCAAACGTAGTTTATAATTTTTTCGAAGAGAGTAAGCTATAAGGATATACCAAGTCAGTAAATTGATGCTATACCATCTTTATATATCGAGGAAATGGGAAATTCCAGGAAGTATATTTTATTTTTATTTTGCTATTTGAGTGGTATAATGCATTTGATGTTTCACAATAATATGGCATGGTGGTGGGTCGTTTCCGTAGTTTTGGGTGAATGTATTACTTTTGATGTGATTAGTTATGTGCTTTTGACGAATTACGTTCCACTGATGATGGACAATAAACCAGAAACACGTATATAAATTATCTTTACAGGTAAATTTACAGCTTTTGCAAAGTACTACGCAACCTGTTCTATTGACATGCCACGTAATTAATAAATCCCAGATGTACTATAATAATTTTCTAATAAACTTTTCTATATCTGTACCTGTACATTTTATTTCCCATCCACTTAAAAATATACTAAGTGACATATAAATCCGAACACCCAGTTTAAATGGTTTTATTTTAATAAAATTTTGTATAAGTACTTAATGAAGCATAATAAGTAAATGATAAAAATTTCAAAATGATTGCATTGCTTTAAAGCCCTTTGACCTTTAATAATGTGTCGATGCACCCTGATGTGCTACGCATTCTCCAACGCGCCTAGGTATGCTTCTGATCAGGTGGTCAATGTCCTCCTGTGGTATCTCATTCCAGGCAACCACCAACTACTCTCAAAGTGCTTCTAGAGTCTGAGGAGGACGTTGCAAATTGAGCAATCTCCTACCCATCATATCCCACACGTGCTCAATTGGGGATAAGTCGGGAGATCTTGGTGGCCATGGTAACAATGTGACATCATTATGTTGAAAGAAGTCTCTTGTGACTCTTGCAACATGTGGTCGGGCATTATCTTGTTGGAAAGTTGGATCTGCCAGGGTGTCAAGATAAGGTAAAAGATGGGGTTCTAGAACTTCGTGGATATAACGCTGCGCGTTCATGTTACCCCTGATGAAGATTAAAGGTGACCTGGAACCATAAATATAGCACCCCAAACCATAACTCCAACAGTGTGATGAACATGTCTTTCAACAAAAAACTGTGCATTCCTCCTTTCACCACGTCGCCTTCTAACCCTGGCACGATCATCGTGCATGCCTAAACAAAATCGAGACTCGTCACTAAAGACAATACTGTTCTATTCCTGATCCCAGTGTGACCGTTGTCTGCACCACTCAATGCGATTACGTCGGTGTTCTCGAGTTAAAGGGAGGACCCAGTGTGGCCGGTATGAAAACAAGCCAAAACTTCTCATTCGTCGGTAAACACTTCGCATGCCAATAGGTCTTCCGTGTTCTGCAAACCATTCATTTGCAATGGGTCTGGTAGTGGAGAAACGGTCCCTTAAGGCCAATAATCTTAGGCGGCGATCTTCACGGTCTGTTGTTCTATGGCGGCGTCCAGTGCCCCTTGCTCTTTGCGTACGGCCTTCTAGAAGCCATGCCTGACAACACCTAACCACAGTGTCTACACTTCTTTGCACTCTAACTGCAATTGCCCGAAAAGAAAGTCCAGCTTCCCGAAGTCCCACTATACGGCCCCTATCAAACTCACTAAGTTGACGAAATCGTACAGGTCTCCGTACTCTAGGCATCGTAACCGATCGTAAAGGATGTCAAGAACCAAAATCCGCCAACGTTGATTCTTTACTGCGGCTGAATATTCATTTTTAGAGCGTTAGTGAATTAAAAAAAAAGCAGTATAAAAACCGGAATGGCCAACTGATAAGGCTAAAAATGTTTTCACTTCACTTCACTTTACAGTAAGATAAATACATTCACCAACTTTTATTAAAATAAAACCATTTAAACTGGGTGTTCGGATTTATATGTCACTTAGTATATAATCTTGATATGTGAACAACAGCTCTGAATGCGGTCCCGGAATTAATTATTGCCAACGTTACAAATTAACATAAAGATGTCGCTTTTGTGATCAGGTGTTCATCTCAAAGAGTGATGGATATTCGTGAAATAAAGTTTAGATGGCTCTTTCAACAGATGACAAATAAATCATAGTTTTATGAGACCTATAGCACAGAATTGTACGGTCGCCCTTAGCTTTGAAATTCCATCCCTCCTCGAACCCAATTATTTTCAGAATGTTTGTGTGTTTAATTCAAACATGGATTTACTAAAATGCGTGAAAAGTCCCTGGATAATTTACTTTTTTATTTATTTCTTCCTTTTTATACTTTTGTACCATTTCCTCATTACGTCCAACATCCTGAAGTAATCCCGATAGAAATCTCCGTTAATGCAGGAAAAATCCTCGAACAAGACTTCGAACCCTAATCCGCTTGGAGTAGACATGTTTACGTCTTATTCTTACACCTACGTTATATAGTTCAGGAAGTATTTTTGAGTGTGACCAAACTGTACGAAGAATGAAACGCAAGTATATAATTACAACAGCGTACAGTCAAAGCACATTTATTTCCCGCGCCTTTTGACGAGGAAGTATTGTAATCGCGAAACATTTTAAAAATGAGATATTGCGTTTTTTGGATATTACTAGTGTACATCACGAACAGCTATGCCATTTATTTCCATCGGTATATCGGTCTGTCTGTCGTTCTGTCTTAGTTAAGGTGATGGAGAGGTGCATAAATCGTAAGCTTCTGGACTTCCTCGAAGGTCACGGCTTGAGTAGCGACAGGTAGTATGGTTTCCGGCACTAGCGATTCACAGGGGACCTCCTAGTAGTAAACTCTTCCAGTTTTATGGTGAGACTCATGTTGCTCTTGATATCACGAAAGCGTTCGACAGTTATGGCACGCTGCCCTCTTATGCAAACTTCCATCCTACGGCCCCCCAGAGAAGCTTTGCAGTTGGGTGGCCGACTTTCTCTCTGGCTGCAAGATATCCGTCGTAATTGATGGGTTCTCCTCTTCATCCCACGTCGCCAACGCGGGTGTTCTCCAGGGATGGCTCTTGGCTCCGACACTGTTTCTCTTACATATCAACGATCTCCTTTCCTGTACAAGCAACCCAAGCCACAGCCTTGCTGATGACAGCACTCTACATGCAGGAATTCAGAGCATCAAGCCGATCTCTGCCGGTGAGCTGAAAAAAAGAAGGCTAGCGGCGACACTGTTATCACTGCTTGGGGACGCAGCAATCTTGTACAGTTTAATGTTTTCAAAACACAGTACTGTATCTTGGCGAACAAAGAGTTCTACCACAGATGCCTTCATTTAGATCACAGAGGCGTGAACACATCTCGTCAATAGCGGCAGCTGCTGGAAAAAAGCTAGGCTATTTGTTTAGGGCTGAGAAGTACTTTTCTCCGCATGACCTTCTCAGTCTATAGAAGGCCCAGATAAGGCCTAACCTCGAGTATTGCTCACACGTTTGGGGTGCTGCCGCCCCGACTACATTATCCATGCTTGACGCTGTCCAGAGGAGGACGGTCCGACTGATGGATGACTCTTCTCTAACAGACAGTCTCGGACCCTTTCGCACCGGCGGGCCGTCGCCGATCTACCTCTCTCTTCTACCGCTACATCAACGGGCCTTCTTAGAGCTCTCCTCCATGAACGCCGCGCTATGTGCCTGCCAGGCAGATCTGCCTGGCTTCGGCCTCCCATCCTAACCGTGTCGAACTTCGTACATCCATAACTGGCTGATACGACCGCTCCTTTGTTCAGAGGGTGTCGAGATTGTGGAACAGTCTGCAAGGGGAAGCTTTTCCCAGCCCTCCTAACCTTAGACAGTTCAACATTTCTTTGAGATCCCCATAGCAGCCGCGGTGGCATTTAGGCTTCTGCCAGTGCAGCTGCTTCGGTATAAAAAAAAAACTTGGTAAGTACCTCTCGGATACTGATGAAATTTTGACACAAGGCTACTACTATGCCAACAATGGAAAAGCATTGTAGCATTCGAAAATCTATCCAGTCGCGACTGGAAAACAAAAAAATAAGGATCACACTTTCTCTTTTTTACGTTTCAGAGACTGCAGCTGATTTTTTTGAATTTCTTTTTGAGGGGTAAAGGACCGTAGGGAGGACATATATCAATTTCTTAGCGCCAATATATTTATACGTAGCTAATTCTAAGCACCTATTAGACATAATTCACACATAGATTTCACCGTACATTTGCTCTTAAAACGTAAGAGTGATATAAATATATTCTACGCCCGCGTCGAATGCAACGAATACAGGAGATACACATGTCTAGAGCTATCCGCTGCTGCTGGCGGTTTACTCATCTCAACTCTGATCGCAACGTTGTCGGATGGTCGTTAGGACTAAGGAAAAATTTATAGATCGCAACGTTGTCAAATAGACTAGTTGAATGAGCCTATTTGACTGACTTGATTCACTTAACTGTTTTGTTATATATTTTTGTTGTTACTTTTTCAAGAAGGAACATCCAGGATCCTAGATATAATGGAGAACGTTCTCCCCATATACCTTCGATAAGAGTGGAGCAAATCAAGAGCACCGTAAGTTCAGAAATATGATTCTCACAGGTATTCCCTACGAAGGAAGGATGAATGGCTGAATGAGGAGATAACATGCTAGCCTTAGAGTCTCGTGTGCTTCACACGAGCGGAGCATATTTATATCCTCCGACAGTCAAGCCGCCATGAAGGCAGTAGCACTTTCGATTAAGGTCCTCTCTAGCTCAGGAATGGAGTACGGCTCTTCAGGGTTTAGCCTGATCCAGAGAATTGACGGTGCGTTGGGTTGCCAGACAGAGTGTAGTACCGGGTAATGAGAGAGCAGGTTATCTGGCTAGGCTGGGAGCGAGGGACTCCTGCATGGATCCCGCGCCTAAGTTCGGCGTACGCAGGCTCCACGTCACGCTGAATAAATGGGAGTATAGAGAACTTGGGAAAAGTATACCGAGAGACAGATGACTGCAAGCAGGCCAAAACGTTCAGAGTTGGACCGAAAATATCGGACGTGGAGGCTACTGGATAAGTGTAGAGAATGCAGAAATCTGTTGGTCGGGGTCTTCTCTGGCCACTATAGACTGAACAGTCACTTGACCTTTCCAAGTGTGAAAAGGGAACTCCGTCTTAGTCCTACGGGCTTAAGGGGTCAGGGCCCAGGGCCTCAGCTTGATGGAGAGCTTCAGGTGCTCAAAAATCAAAATGTCTGAGTACCCCTCTGCTCAACGGCAAAAAGGGCCCCGAATTTCGCTGTCCTAGCCCCCTCAGCCACAAGTCCCCAGCTTGTTGCGTGTCTGAGTACTTCCCTTCTCGCACTTAAATTTTCTTCAACGTAAAATAGGGCCCCGGTTTTCGATCTATCCTGGGTCCCCTACATCGTTTAAGATGGATATGATTCTATCTGCTCCATGTGCTGGAAGGAGGACAAGATAACGATCCAGTTTCTAGGTTTTTTCCTCGTATATTGCTGTCTAAAAGCTGAAGTATTCAGGGCCATGGAGTTTGATAGTGCAGTCGCATACTTAGTGGAGTGGTCGGACTTTCCTACTTTTTTAAAAATCAGTAAGGTTTTATAAATTAGTGAATAAGCATGTGGAGTAGAGTGTTCATACACAAGCGCCTGTCAAAAAGTGCCCAAGGTGGCCACCTTGCCAGGTTTCGCCTCCCCATAACTACTACTACTATAACTGAGGACTTTCGCCATGTAAAAAGCTACCTCTGTAAGGTTGCGGATCAGATAAATCGTGCAGGATATGACCTTATCAATATGTAAGTATTGGAGTTATAAACCCATCCTTGGAGAATAACCCTTTCCATGTTAGGGATGTTAATTATTTTCGAAAAATTTTAATAACTGATGAGAGATGAAAAAGATAAATGGTGTTTTCGGAAAAATCTCGGTGCCTGCTTGTATATTATTCGACAGCCTCAGAAGAAGGGATTTGTTTTCCACGGGGTATGTATGTGGACAAAAAATTCTATTTCATGGGCTACAGTCCAAAAGGTATGAGATGCTGTCGGATTTGTATTAGCAGTGCGACTGACTCTGGCTATATTAAAACTTTATAACAACAAAATAACGGATTTTATCGAAACATTTTAACCTTGAAATTTTTATTGAACGGACTGCAGCATAAACAGCTTGATGCATTTTTATATATAAGGTTTCCTTAGATTCGACATGGTAGCACAATCAAATCTTCAGATACTATGCTTTTATTCAGAGCGCGCCGCAAACGGGCAATGCGCGAAGCAATAACATGCTAAATGCTAATTTTCATGGATTCTGGTCTTTATGTCCTGGACTATATTATGTTTACGTCTTTTTCTTCCCTGCCCGAAACCTTGTACGTACCTTCTGCGCGACGAAAATCTCGTAGGCGGCACATATCCCGGCAACGGTAATCCCTTGTTCTTTGCACAGCATCGCAGTTGCTACGCACACCGTAGATAACACCAGGTATTTCCATCCTGGAACATAACGGGGAACGGATGGTAAGGTTGGTAATGCTGCTGCCTGGTGATTTATATCCATATCAAAGAGACACGGGCAAGGAAAAAACGGCAACGGAAGGTGTTTATTCAAGATATTGCCGGCGGCAAAATGGGGGACATCAGTCCTAAGGGACAGAAGACAGGATTGTATCATTCTAGTTTGTCGGATAACGAACATATTCCAACGTAGAATACTGTGGGGTATGGGAATGTGTTCGTGCAGGACCCCCAATGATACTGTTGCCGGAAGGAAGACTAATGCTAATCATATCGTCGTCAGGCAATTTCACAGACCATATATACAACTCCTGTGGTGCGTCTTCAACCATGTCTAAACATGCATTGGGTGCAAAGTTTGTGTAGTGATTTTGAGTGCAGAGAAGTAAATGACAAACTGTCGTTGGCCAAAATGATCACTGGTAGCCTATTTGGCAAGTTTTGAAACCCTACTATTATTACTACGACTTCATCTACGAGGTTTGCAAATTGAGTAATGAGACTATTTTTTTTTTTTTATTCAAATATAATTATAATTTTAGTATATTGTCGCCTCAAAATGACTTTATTCTGAAGCCACACCTCGGTGGAGACAGTTCTTACACTCCTCATAGCAGTTCTGGAACCCCGGTACTGGAATAGCCTCCAGTTAATCTGGATCTGATGAACGATAGTGTGAGTCAAATTTAAATTTTCCCCGACCATTTTGACTGTTAGCCGACGATCTGAACGCACAAGATCCCGGATTCTGTTGATATTTTCATCGGTTCTTGAAGATGAAGGCCTTTCGCATCGTGGTTCATCTTCAGTCGACTCTGTCTCTTCTGAAAATTCCGTAAACCACCGAAAAACCTGGGCTCTTGACCAGACACTATCTCCGTAGGCCTATTTACCAAGAGTTGCCGTTGCACTGTGCGCAAGTCTGAAGCAGAACCTGATAGCTCACCGTTGCTTGAAATTGACGTTACTCATCTTTAGAACACCATTGAAAAGACTCGAGCCAGTTCAAACTTGTACTGAAGGCAGATTACATGTTGTCCTGTCTCCCCTCCAAGCCCGACGCCTCCAGTATCACTTAATTTACAGACCTCGTAGTTATTCTAGATACAATTACTTTGAATTGCATTGCATGTCTTGACGTTTGGAAAATAATGCTTCTATGCCTCTTCATTCTTAGCAACACCCTGTATTTGCAACAAATTAAGATTTTCCATTTCCAAGACTTTGAACATTGATGGTTAGTTATAGCAAAGAAAACATTATACCAATGCCTGGACGAAATCAAAATAAGTTGCATTCTAGATATGATCGAAGAGATGCTTGAAAACAGAATATTTATCGACGCCTATTTTGAACACGCAGGCAAAGCAAATAAGGATAAACACTAAGAATCAACATTTGGCTATGCATAACAGAAGTAGCTGGAATATCAATAAACCCCACAGATACATGTAGGGAGCACCATCAATATAAATAGTTATCTCTGTCTAATACATGAAATATATACATTAATGCTACTGCTGTTCAGCGATAACCAGATAAAACGTTATTTTCATTGGAACATATGGCCCTATATATTGATCTCACAATTATAATCAGACTAATAAAGCGTACCTGTTGACTTTTTACTGTGCGTGGCTTTGGCGTACAAAATAAAAGCAGCGAGGAAGAAAACTGATGACAAAGTTTCTGCTCTGCCGACCACGCCTGTCACCTGAAATAAAAAGTTAATGATAAACTATTGAAGTAAACCAAAATAGTGGTCATTCTGTAAGCTTGGATAAATGAATAAAAAGACATTTGGTCATCGTTTGAGACTGCTGGAATATATCACTATTAAAGGACATATTAAATACACGAGAAAGATTCAAAGCGAGCTGCAGTACACTTCTCTTTCATACAAGACTAAGGAATCACGTTGGGATTAGAAGCCTTATTGGTGTCGATAGATTTCAGAATATGCAACCAATAGCCAATTCAGGATCGATACATATTACGCCATACATCGCACAGTGGGACCAATGACCAACCTAGATGGACAAAATTAAAACATAAGAAATCTAAAACTACTGTGTATTTAGTAGAGACGAGTTTTCTTAAGTGAAATACGTAAAAATAGACATACAAAAAGTAGATCAAGGGATTACGGCTGCAATGTATAAACGTTGAGTTCCAACAATCTAGTATTAGTGACTAGTTAACGGCTATGAAAGCAGCAAAATTGATCATTCTTCCAAACCACCTCCTATTGTCCAAATTATTTTTCCATGATGGAAGTGTAAAAGTAAGTACCTGGTTATTCCAAATGCAAGATTCAGTTGAATGCCGTTTTATGATTAGATGTGTGAGGGCGATATTTGTTAGTTTTCGTCCTAGTATAAATATACTAAGTGCCATATAAATCCGAACACCCGGTTTAAATGGTTTTATTTCAATAACGTGGTGAACGGAGGAATCCACAGTTTTTTTGTTGAAAGACATGTTCATCACACTGTTGGATTTATGGTTTGGGGTGCTATAGCTTATGGTTCCAGGTCACCTTTAATCTTCATTAGAGGTAACATGAACGCGCAGCGTTATATCCACGAAGTTCTAGAATCCCATCTTTTACCCTATCTTGACACCCTGGCAGATCCAACTTTCCAACAAGATAATGCCCGACCACATGTTGCAAGAGTCACAATAGACTTCTTTCAACATAATGATGTCACATTGTTACCATGGCCACCAAGATCTCCCGACTTATCCTCAATTGAGCACGTGTGGGATATGATGGGTATGAGATTGCTCAATTTGCAACGTCCTCCTCAGACTCTACAAGCACTTCGAGAGGAGTTGGTGGTTGCCTGGAATGAGATACCACAGGAGGACATTGACCACCTGATCAGAAGCATGCCTAGGCGCGTTGGAGAATGCGTAGCACATCATCGGATTTATATGTCACTTAGTATAATATAACTAAAAACTGCCGCAGACTACGCAGTAATTTTCATGTTGAAACTAGAGGATTTCGTTAAATCACAAATTGAAACATCTAATATTTAAAAATGTGGATGTAGTGTTCATTTTAGCAACTAAAGCCTGAAAATCCCGTAGAGAACTATTTAAACTGTGTCCCAGCTGTAGATAAATGACCTCAGTTGGGCAACAATAATTATCCAATCGATTTCCACTAGACAGCATGTTAGATGTTTCTGAACAAAAGCTGAAGGAGCCACTAGGCTTTATGTTACCAAAAGAATGTAAAGCAAACAGATTTTTTCTTAAAAAATAAATGAAAGGCGAATGGATAATTGCAGCAAAATTGAGCCCATTTCTCTACAGCCGTGCCATAATTCAAATACGGCATAATATGTAGACTTAAGTTGCTGAAATGAAAAATACACCTACAATCCCACATTAGTAAATATTAGAGGTCTCGTTTTCAATATGTGATTCGGCATGATATTTTATAGTATCAACATTAAAATTACTCTAGCAGTTTTTTGTTATGTTATTCATAATAGGACGAAAACTAAGAAATATGCTCTCACACATCTAACATCACAAAACGGCATTCAAATAAATTTCGCATTTGAGATAACTAGATACTTACTTTTATAATCATTTTCCATCGTGTAAAAATAATTTGGACAATAGGCAGTGGTTTGAAACGGTGATCAATTTCACTGCTTTCACAGTCGCTGACTAATCACTTATTACAAATTGGTGAAATTCAAAGCTTACATTGCGGCCGTAATCCCGGGTTTGTCTTTTGTATGTTTATCTTTACGTATTTTGCTTATAAAAATTTCTGCTGAATACTGTAGTTTTAAATTCCTTATGTTTTAATTTTGCCTATCTAGATTGGTCATTCGTCCCACTGTAATGTATGGCAGAAAAAAGCTAACACGTGGAAAATGTGTTTAGAAAGCAACTGTTGAGATTAACTATATGTTGCGGTTGTCACCTTGTCACTGTTCTCAAAAATATAATTTATTTTCTAATCATATACAGGGTGGCCCATCCATATGTGGACGGAATATTACTCATAAACAAATACATTTTGGGAAAATCTATCTATGGCATGTTATACATGACATTTGAGGGCACATTTCTAAGATATTGGCACGACGGCGAAGCCCAAAGAAAGTTTCCTAGCATCTCGAATTTTGCCACGCCTTTTTTTGGTTAATTAATAAAACACAATGATAAATACTGTCTAACGGTTGGTTCAAGCAAAACAGTTGTCTAGTGGCGTGCAAATTTAGGCCCTAGCTTAATAAAGCGGAGAGTAGGGGCGGGTTAAGAGCGCCAGTGACTTAGGACGGATTAAGCCACAACTCCCCGAGATGTTAGTCGGAACTTGTTTTGCTTGACCACCACACAAAAGGAGAATCTAACAGAGATGACGAAATTTAAGTAACAGTACACACAGAGAGAGCCAAATAAACAAGATACCAAATGGATCACAATATATTGATTAAAAAAAACGCACATGTGCTCCACCACTGGAGTGCGTGTAATGAAAAAGAGAAAGTATGTTACAAATCTTAAATACGGCCTGACAAAATTATTTTTCGAGATAACCTCGCGAAACGTCTACCATGGTATAAGTCCGAAGTATTTACAGATATTTTGCGCCTAAACACTAAACCTGTAGGTCTTCTTTGTCAGGCGTGGCCGAGATGTCCTCGAATCTGGTAAAAAAGTGGCCAGTAGTGGGCACGTCACTGGGCAGGGGCTGCTTGCCTCGGTCCCAAAAATTATGGCAGTAATACAGAAAAAAAACCCTGTTCATATCGGTTTTTTTTTCAAGGGGATGGCTTCCAATTTGCAAAACTGCAACGATGCAACTGACTGGAGGAGAAAAGATGATGATTTTCTTCTGTTTCGCTGAGGGTCAAAATCCCATAAGAAAAATGGAAGACGTAGCACCCACAATGACTAAACTTAAGTTACACAACAAAAAGAAAAGGGTGCTAGTCCATGAATGGGCGCTTGGGGCCTAATATCCCAGAGTCTGGAAACCGACAAGAAGACACCCACACCACGACCTCAACGGAAACAGAAAAGCGAATCACGCAGAATACGTAACGTTCTAGTGGAAGGAATCTTGAGTGGCCTTGAAGAAGATATGTTTTATAGGAAACCAGCTAACGGAGAAAAATTACCGATTTTTTTTGCTGATCGTCAACACCATACTGAATCGCTGAGAACGAAAGATATAATACGAGTGAAATTACACAATCAATAAACTATTAAATTTGCAAAAAGAAAATCATTGAAAAGGGTTTGGTCTAGGAATGGGCACTCTTATCAATGAAGAGAAATTCAAATTAAGGATAAATGATAAATAGTAAAAAAAAAAGGTTACGTGATTTTGGCACGTGACAATTTATAAGCAACAGTACCCTAATATGCGACATCCAAGGCCGGAAACATTTTCCACACTACGAGAAGGTTTTGAATCAGTGAAGCAGTGAATATAGTAAAAAAAGTATAAATAAGCCAAGTGTCACTAATGAGGCGAATCAGTTGGAGTTTCTATTAAAGTTGCAGGAAAATCCTCATTTAAGTACACGGCAAATTGGAGCAGAAACGGATATATGCGTAACTTCTGCCCAAAGGATTATTCACAAGCATAGGTACCATCCATATCACCTTGCATCAAGGCCTTCGTCCTCAGGATTTCGCAGCTCGAATGGAGTTTAGTAGAATAATGCTAAATAGTCAGTGAAATCACTACTTTTCTGGATAAGGTTTTGGAGGATGTCAACCTGCAAACTCGGATGCATATGTACTTCCAACATGACGGCGCACCTGCGCATTATCATAATCTATTTGGACACCTGGAGGAACAATCGTTGGATCGGTCGTGATGGGCCTATATGTTGGCCTCCTTGATCACCAGATATGACACCGATGGACTTCTTTCTATGGGGCTACGTTAAGCAATTGGTTTATATATATCCACCCTTTAACCCGGAAAATATGAAGGAAAGGATTAAGGATGCTTTTCTGAACATAAGGAACACATGCTGAGGGATGTGCAACGGTCATTTATCCAAAGACTACGGCTGTGTATTTCACATGGTAGAGATACTTTCGAGCAGTTTTTGTAGATTAGGTCTTGAGTAGTGATAGTTGTTTGTGTTTGTTGTTACAGTTGCTTTTCTCCATTACGCTTGAAGCTGATTTATACTGTTCTGATTGTTATTAGTTTTTACATCAAATCTGTACTCTTATTGGCAATATGGAACTAGCCCACTGTTTCTCTTGGATGATGTGTTTTTTTCCTTAATTTTGGTGTGTTGTTCTATTAAAAGCTTAATAACTCAAAATCTAGTGATTTTATCTGAATAAAACCTCATAACAAAAAAAAAAGGTTATAAAAAATTGAATCCAAACTTGCACAAATATACAGGTAATGCATTTGAAATTTTTGAGAAATAGTAAAATTCGCGTTTTTGACTGCCCTGTATGAGCTGAAATGAAAATTCGAAAAAGTAACAAATAAAACCTGAGGGGTTTAAGTTTTTTTTACACAAAGTTCAACACTCCAAATTTCAAAATGGCGGATTGAGGGGTTGCCGAAGTGGACGGTTTTTCTGGACAAAACGCCTTACATCTCAGTAGCTAATTACCAAAACCCCATGATATGTATATCAATCTTCTTCTTTTGAATTGGTTTATCCTAATATGCAATAAAATTTGAGGCATTCGATTTAAAAA